CTATGAATGAGAAATAATAAAAGAGATGCACTATATGTACGGACAAAAAAGATCAAAATTTATACAGATACACGCATAGTGGTGGGTCCCATTTATTTTAAAACAATATTTAACTCACATGGGGCCCCACCCCATGTGAGTATTCTGTATAAATTCTGGTAAATGATTTTCTATACATTCAGAAAATTTCATAATACGCTCCTGTTTGGGCCACATTATTTTTTTCATTCTCATTCTTCTACTCATTTTCAACCATACATTCTTCAATAAAATAATATTTTTCATTACATCAATAATTTTTTCTTATTTTTCAACCACACATTTTCCATCATATCACTATTCAAAAATCAATTCTTCCTCCAAAAATCTCAAACAAACACCCCCTTAATACTCCACCTGCTGAAAAGCTGGAGGGAGAGACGTTTGATATCCAGAAAGAAAAACAAGTTGAACTACAAAATGGAATGANATTATATTCTATTATTCTCGTCTCAACCATCCACGAGTGACGACTCAAACGCAAATACAATTTTCATCTTGAAAACTACGTAATTGGGAAGAAAACTATGAATGAGAAATAATAAAAGAGATGCACTATATGTACGGACAAAAAAGATCAAAATTTATACAGATACACGCATAGTGGTGGGTCCCATTTATTTTAAAACAATATTTAACTCACATGGGGCCCCACCCCATGTGAGTATTCTGTATAAATTCTGGTAAATGATTTTCTATACATTCAGAAAATTTCATAATACGCTCCTGTTTGGGCCACATTATTTTTTTCATTCTCATTCTTCTACTCATTTTCAACCATACATTCTTCAATAAAATAATATTTTTCATTACATCAATAATTTTTTCTTCTTTTTTAACCACACATTCTCCATCAATCTACTATTTCAAAATACATTCTTCCAAAATAATATGGCTCAAACACAATAAAAATATCACTTGAGAATAAATTTTATAATGGTCAAGTGATGTATTCACGTCAAATATCAATGGAATCAGACGACCATGTGGTCATTACTTGTTCATGCAGAGATTGAAGTTTGAACAAAAGGAATAGATAGACTTGTTAATACAATAAATTTGACTAGACAGAAATCAGTAGCAGCCCTTCGATCGATGCTATCTTAAATTTTTGAATTATTCACAGAAACCCGCACCTATACAGTGCATTTTCTGTCATTGTTATTTCAAAAATCAATGAAAATTGTCGAGTGTTATTCTGTACAAATTATGTCTGACATTTTCTGTACCTATAACATAACTCAACTGTAAATTTTTTCTTCTTCGTATTTCTGGCACCACTCAAAGGAGATTTATGATGTTCTACGTCAGCCTTACTTGCAAGAATTATCAAATGCAAGTAGCATGCGAGCACAGACCCACGAGATTTGAAACTCCCACATTTGGCATGTAATTTTTAGTCGTGTAAAGACCAAATTAAAAGCATGTGCTTAGTTGTTAGTACTAATTATTAGTGTTGCACCAGTTCACCGTTGGAACGAAATTGGCCATAAAGTTTGAATCGAGTCAAATGTTCGTCAATTTTGTAGGAGGACGAATTTCAACTTTCACAGGCCAACAATGACATTTGAGTCTGATGTAGGATAATTGGCGTTAAAGTTTGAAAAAGAATTAGATCGAAAATTGTCAAAACGAGCCGTTTCGAAGAAACGAGCATAACCTTTTGCATAAATGTCAGAACTTCTGTTATAATATATTTTCGGAAACGTCTCGCGGCATTCTACAACGTCTTAACCCGGGTTCCCCGGTTGACGTCTTTTTTAACCTCAAATTTGCAGTTTAAGGCGGTCTACCGGGCAATTGAAGTTTTTGTTTTCACTTTTAATTGTTTTAATTAAGTGGATTTTATTTTGGTCTTTTTTGCTTAAATTAGAGTTTGTAGAGACTATTTAAAGGCTCTTTATTTTTCTCAATAATACAATTCCGTTTTTTGAGGTTATTTTCTTGACATTTACAATTTTCTTTTTCTGAGGGTTACACTAGTAAACCTAGAACTTTCGTTCTGCGTCAAGTGGTATCGGAGCAGGATTTGTCTTGTTTGATGGCCAACAACAACAACGAAGCCGGAAGAGTGAACCCTCGTGATGCTGGCAGGGAAGGCGATGCAGATCTGTGGGCAACAATTGACGAGCAGCAACAAACGATGGAGAGGTTAGAGGGCATGCTATAGCAACTGTTGGGGAGGCAACCCAATCCCAACTCACGTGTTGTCAACGCTCCTGCCCCTGCCAACCGAGATGGAGTTGAGGGAGTTGCCCTTGGCTGTCATGGAGGTGGGCGTCCACCTAGAGCAGCGAATTGTCATGGAGGTGGCCGTCAGAGTCTATTTCATTAACAGCTCGGGCCAAACTAGAAGCCTTATGTGAATTGTCATGTAAAAGATATTTGCACAATACTATATAGAACGATAGGTCACATGTGTATTAATATTATTATACAAAAATCGAACTATATAGAAAAAAAAATGAATAAATCTTTACAGAAACTTTACAACTTTCAAACTATGTACAAAGGCATTAAAGTATTTCTGAGTTCAAACTCAAATTATTGTACCATTTTGTATCAAACAGAATACTTAAACCTAGACCCTCAAATGGACAACCAAAGTTGCTTCTATGGACTCTTAATTTCATAGAGAGAGATCCTCAAGTTTTCCAACCAGATGTTGAAAATGATAGAGAAAGACACGGATAATTCAAAAGGCTGGACAAGAAAATCAAACGAGTAAGATTCAATTAGGACAACAGTTTATGGCATTGTTATACTTTCAATGTCCATCGTTGATCATAGATCAAGATCAACAATTCAGAGCAACTAACAACTTATATAGTCGTTATTGGGGCCCACATAAGAGATAGAAATTTTGAATTTAAATATTGATGTGATGGATAACGATTATATTTTTCATTTTAATGAGATAATAATGTAGATCAAACGGGGGCTAAGTTTAAGAGTTAAAACCTCAATACTAAAGTTGCACTTCAAAAACATGACATTGTACATTTACTACATTTATTTGGATGTGTTTGGGTCTCATCTAATTTGAAATTATATATTCGAAATATGTTAATACAAAAGTTGTTATAAGTATTCATAAATAGTTTATAAATACAAGCCAAACATAACCTAAATTCTACATATAAAGTGAACTCAATTTTCATGAGTTTATACATTACGCGATTCTCTAAATTTAGCTCTTGTTTGGTGCACATTTTGAGTACAAAAATACATTTTTTTTGTTTGTTGTGATGGGGAATATGTGGTCGAAAAAGAAGGAAAAATTATTGATTTGATGTAAAATATTATTTTATTGAAGAATGTGTGGTTAAAAATGAGTAGAAGAATGAGAATTAAAAAAATAACGTGACTCAAATAGAGACTTAGCCCCCGTTTGGTGTACATTTTTGATAAAAGAATGCATTTTTACTGTTGATGTAATGGGGAATATGTGGTTGAAAAAGAATGAAAAGTTATTGATGTGATGTAAAATATTATTTTGCTGAAAAATGTGCGGTTAAAAATGAGTAGAAGAATGAGAATGAAAAAAATAATGTAACCCAAACATAACCTCAATTAAGAAAAACTCTTATCACAACAATTGATACCAATCGTTGGATGGTTCAATAGACAACGCATCCAACGGATGAACTTTCAATCCGAAAAGCTTACATGCATCAGTTACTGTTACGCAATTCCTTACTACTGCTTGGAGTCATCGTAACTTGTAATTCTGACCGGCTTTTTTATCGGTAGTCGGTCAGTTGTTAGTTGTCGAAATACTCATACAACCCTCTGTATAACCACCACCCCGAACTCCCTCTAAAATCTCCCACAATGCTATCACCCGCAGGTGAAGCAATCATAAGCTCTATGTATAGCCTGGGATCCTGATCTGGAAATCAGAAATATTGGAAGAATTTTTGGGATTCAAAAATTAAAGAATTTACTTCCCCTAGAAGTGGTAGGAAAACGCTTTAAATGATCTCAATTATTTTTTTAAGGCCAATCTGAATAGATTTTTATTTTCAAATATCCGCCAATATAAAATCCTAACATTCTTGATTATGTAGTTCAACTTAACTTCTAAGATTTTTATTATTTTATTATTTTTTAAGTTTATGCAGCGCTCATAATAGATATTTCTTTCATAATAACTACCGGATATTTTAATACCAAACGAATTTCGGGGACAATGATGAATATTCGAGTCGAAATTATTCATTTAATTTTTCGTAAGTCAATTGATGAAACACTTTATGTGTTGAGTCAAAAATCACACATGGTAGCCCAAGTTATTAAGAAGGATCAAAACCACTTTACGGGTTCGACCCATTACTTAACCTACTATGTGATGCATTTAAATGGGGTCTCTCCTCTGTGTTGAGAAATAACACACGATTTTCCCTTTTCCGTTGACATTGGTTGCACCTCTGGCCTTTTCTATTGGCTGCTTCTCTTTGTGATCTTTTGCCTTCGTTTTCGTCTGTGCTCTATTTTCTGTCTGTTCTGTACCAATGACCTAACTGTAGGATTGGGTTTTCCCGACTGTTGTTTGTGCGCATTTTTGCCCCTATTTCGGTATGCTCTTGCTGCATTTCGTATGTAACTTCACTTGGCCAATTTTGGATAGTTGTTGTGGTTCATTTGAGTGGGTTACTTTGGTCCAATTTGTGTGGTGCTCTGGTATGATTTTCGGCTCTTGATCCAAGCCTCGATTCATCCTTCTTGATGCAAAAATCATTGGTGTATTTGTTTCAATTTACTTAGATTAAGTCCTTTATACTTGGTGTTTGTTATTATCTATTAGGTGAATTTCTCTCTACATTACAATGTGTTTTTGGAATAATGTATGATTAAAAAGTTAAAAAAAAAAAGAATTTAGGTGTAAAATTATTTTTTTAAGAGAATGTATAATTAAAAATAAGTTTGAGCAAAAAATAAAATTTACGAGGAGTTTAGCTATGCGTAGATCCAAGGTTAACAACCCCCTTACAAGAGGGGTAGCCCACGATTACGTGTCGCCCCCCTCTTATGAGGGGGCTATCGTCCGGGATGTTAAACTCGAATGCACGAACATCGAAACTTTTTTACACAATGTGGACATAATATGAACTATATCTATTTATCACACGTTGCAAGTTGTTTATGACCTCGCAAATAGGAGACAAAAGTAGGAGCATTATATTTCTATTATAGGAATATAATGACACTTGCTAAGATTCAAGAAAATAACATATCATTGAAAGCTAGACTATAGTTCGAATTTAGGTCCTGAATCACTCTCAGTGCATCACATTCACAGCATGATGTGTTTGGTAGCCATTATCAACAACAAATTATCAATGGCTTCAACATCTTCCGAAGAAAATGGGCCACCCGGCTTCTTAGCAAAGATCATTAGCACGACACCAAAATCATCTTAGAAATATAGTCAATTTAAAATATTTTAGTCCATTTAAGTCTATTTTAGCCTTAAAGTCTATTAACTTTCAATTTGGACTTTGAAATTTGGATTTGAAACTTCGAGTCTTGAATTTCAACTTGCTTTTGATTTAAAATTTGAAGAAGACAACGTTCTTCTTGAAATTTCAGGCCTTTAACTCGATAGATTTTTTTATATTTTTCACCTAGGTTTTTCAATTTTCTTCTAAACTTCTATTTAAATTTACGATTTTTCTCTTGCACTTCAATTTATGATTTTTTTGGACCTTAAATTTTATTTATAGAGATATTTTGTAACCTTTATTTTAACAAATCAATTATATTTAAATAAAAATTTAATTAGTTATAATCATTGATTTTTGAAAAAAGTAGGATGCAATTTTTTAAGTACTGTAAGTAAAACTCTAACATAATTAAGGGCCACTCATAAGACCCCCTTTGTCTTGCCTTTATATCGACATTTTAGAAAGTAAGCCAACCTGGAATTTAGAGAGTTAAAAGAGGAGAGGAGATGGAGACTGATAGCGTTTTCAATCTTTTCAAATTTCAAGTTGGAGAACCCAATTTTTCTCTGTGATTTTCTTGAAGATTCATGAGAAATGAAAGGCTACCTAGTAGATCACCAAGATTATAGATATAGGTGTATGTAGATTCGCCGTCAAATATAACGGCGAAACGACGTTAATTCCCTCTTCACAAAAGCTACACGGGCAATTATCAGCTCAGTAATCATTGTCCTACTTCTGGTCATCCAGCTAGCCTCTCCTGCTCCGCAAACTAAACTCGAATATTCACCGGGAAACCAGCGAAACTGACCGGTGGAACTGCTATTCAACTATCAGAGAGCTTTTTTCTTGAAACAACCTAGATCTTTTTATACAGACAGGTAAGGGAAAAATCTGAAGTTGTTACCTTGAAAATAATTTTCCTATTTTTCTTTTTTCTTTATCTTTTTGTGTTTTCTATCTGAGCAACTGGTTTCAAGTAATTACCAGAATTTCCCCTTTGGAAAATTAGTTTGTAACGCTGTTTACATGCAAATTCAAGAATTTCTTTTACTGTTTAAAGGTTTTTTTTTCCAGAAACTTGTTTATATATACTATGGTATTTAGTAAAGACTTTAAAGTAGTTGGTTTGGTTATTCTTTAACTTCATGAAGACGAAGCGGATCTGCATATGGGTTTCGCAGCTCTTCGGATTTTTTGTTCACTGCAAGTAGAAATATTTGCCTAAAATTTAGGGTTTCAGTGGGATACGTTAAGTTTTCTATTATTATACTGCTAGGCTACAGTACACAGTCCAGTGATTTCGTGTTATTCTCATCAAGTTTTCGGTGCTGAGTTAAAGATTTGCTTGCTTTATTCTATTCTTACGAAAGTTGAAGCCAGTTATCTCTCCAAGATGTGCATATGATATAAACAGTGAAATACGAGTCGAATTACCGTTGGTTAGCAGAGAATTAGCCTTGGTTTAAGACATCACGCACAGGCTTTTCTTTCTCTTTCTAGTTTAATGCACAGATTGCGTACAATTTATGTAAGATTTTTTGCCCAAAGTTTTTGTGTTTTTGATCCCATATGATTTTTCTTCTGCTATTATTCTTCTCACATGGGATGCTGTTCTCTCTCTCTCTCTCTCTCTCTCTCTCTCTCGCTTTCTAGGGTGATTTCTCCATGGTATTCTTGTTCTGTACTTATTATTAATGGTGACTTATCTCCTTCCTGTTGAAGCTTTTGCTGATTGAACTAAAATTGTTAAACACTTTGGTGGGATATAATTGCATGCAGGATTCTCAGCAGTTCATCGGGAAAAATATGAACCAAGACCGTGATAAGTTAAGAATTCAACAAAATTTAGCGCAGTTTTCTGTTCACGATGGTCTAACTTATGAACCCGTTCAGCTTCGAAGCTGTAGTAATGGGAACACACGTTATGAGTCATCTGAATATTGTTCTGAAATGCTTTGCTTTTCAGCGAACTCACAAGCTTTATTGGGGCATAAAGATGATGTACTAGTTCAAGAACCTAATAGCCGGCTTGGAGAAGCTTCTTTTGGTGACTTTTCACACACAATGTCATCTACCTTCAATCCTTCAGCCACAATGAGTGGTGATCCACAATGTTTTAGTACTTGGAAAAACAGTGCTTCACAATCAAGTGGTGATTGGATGGCTGATCCGTGCCCAGCGTTAGTTGGAACTCTCTCAGGTCCTTTGAAAATGATCCAAACTGGTTATCACGAATCACATTCTTCGTTGATCAACTCATCGGGTGATGTTTCAACCCTGAATGGCCAAAAGCCTTATGGGAATTTGCATTGTAATTCTTCACTTTACCAAAGTGCACTACAAGATGCTACTCTGGACAACAGTAGAACCACGGGCCTAAATTTGGCTTCTTTGAGGCAAAATAATGACAAAGAAACTAGCCAAGCTTCGTGGGCAGTTGGTGGGAGTGAACTTCTACTTCTTCCGGCCTATGCCGATCAATTGCGCCTTAAAAGTGGAGTGGAGTGGTGTGGTGAATTGGAGTATGGAGAAAGTAAGATTATTGATAGAGACCACACAACAACTGCAAATGTTAATTCCAATTCTCAGGCTCTCTCTTTGTCACTTTCATCAGTACCATCACCGAAAGTACACATGGAGCAGACTGTTGAGATAGACATTTCTGCAAATTTGCACTCCAGAGACGTTAGTCTTAATAATGTCCCATTTTTATCTTCCAATCCCAAATTTTCATGTGATAACAAAGTTTCTGAAAGTTTTCCGCAAGATATGGTGGGAAATTTGACTTTAGCTCATCGAAATTCAGGCCCACTTGGTCCGTTCACTGGTTATGCTACCATTCTCAAAAGTTCAAAATTTTTGAAGCCAGCGCAACAACTGATGGATGACCTTTGCAATTGTGAGAACTCTAAGCACATTGTAATGCACAAGGCTTCTCCTGAGAAAACTCTTGAAGAAGTTGGGGTTTCTGATGATAGTGTGTGTGCTCTTGGACCTGTACCAATAGCAATACCTGGTGATTCTGGTGGCTCGTCCTTTACATTTCATAGTTCAATTGGGAAGAGTCAGGAGCCTGGAGGTATGAGCAGCACAGTAGATTCTCACTGGTCTGAATATTTACAGAACAAGGCTAAACTCTTATACATGAAGGACGAGGTTGGTTCTCTTGACTTGCTTATTTCTACTAATCATTTTCGAGGATACTTTTTTTAACACATGGATTGTTTAAGCATGTTTGATAAGATAGATTGGATAACATTCGATAAAGAAAATTCTAGAATAAAATTAATTTATTAATAAATTTTACAATAAAGAAAGGTGTAGTGCAATAATGCTTTCTAGGCTGCATCATTCTTCCGAGTTTGGAGAAAATTCGCCCTCAAATTTTTTGTTTTTGAATTTGCGTGTAAAACTGCTGTTTTTGCATGACTATAATTGTCTACTTGCAGTGGCTCGACTCTTAACGATCTGGTTGTAGTTGGATTCTTCTTTTGTTGGGCTAATGATAACTCAGCAAGTCTTGCAACTCGTTCATTCATTATTTTAGCATTACTTCACAGTTCTAGTATCTCCTTTGTTGTATATGCTTGTGAGATCGGAGGTGGCTGATCTGATGATCAGGAACCAATCCTAGAGAAGAGGACTAAGCCGTCCCAACTAATAACATTACTGAGAACATCTATTAGAATTAAAATTAATGCAAATAAGCTATTATACCAATCAGCCACATGATCCCGTCTGTTTACTCCTTGTGTACCATTAGTCACTAGATTACCTAGTTTGGCCATGAGTGTCTTCACCCTGTTTTTCCCACTCGCATCAATTTGTATACTAGGATTTTCATTCTTATTAATGATATACCCGTTTTGACAAAGGAACTAATGAACAAAACTATGTTTTTTAAAGAAGAATTAAAAAGGATATGGAGTGTTCAGCTTTTTGTTCCTTGTCATGCATTTGAAGCTGGAGAAAATCAATAATTTAAAGAATTTTTTTTAGAAATTTATATAACCTGAGACGTGTCCGTTAGTGGTGGAGACTTTTGACCAAGCCCAAAAATATGCAAGTCCAAGTTAGGTGCCCTTTATATTTGAAGCTCTTCTCCAAAATTTATTTGCTCATCAATGTTTTTGTTGTTGTGTTACAACTAATGTTGATTGGAACTTACACTTCAAATTGGGGTCCTAAGTTTTTATTTATATCTTTGTCACTGGACATAGCATGTCTCTGATCAAACTTACTCTAATTAGATTAGTTTACGATGCTAAGTTTATATCATTAATTAGGAAACTGTAAAGGAATCAACTTTATTATAATTAAGAGTCCACACAGACACCAATTCCTCAGCATCCTTAGCAATATTCCACACCCTTTGTTATTGTAGAAAATAGAATATGAAGGACAATGACAAATCTAAATAGACTATAACTCCAGGCTAAACATATAGTGCTTGTTTGGTAGGGATTTTTGGGGGAAGAATTGATTTTTGAATAGTGATATACTGGGAAATGTGTGGTTGAAAAAGAAGAAAAAATTATTGATGTGATGGAAAATATTATTTTATTGAAGAATGTGGTTGAAAATGAGAATTGATTTACTGTAAAATTTGAGAATAAAAAACAAACACGCCCTAAATAGAACGCATAGGGGATTACTCTTTGTGCGGAGGGTGAGAGCTGAAGGGTCGAGGATTTGAGTTTGGTCTTGGTGGAGGTCGTGGTGGTTGTAGTTGTTTGATGATGGGAGCGAAAATAGGGGTTACCTTGGGCCGCCTGGTTTGCAAGGGTGGGGCTGAGTTGGAAGATATGTATTTTCATTTTTCATTTTTACATTTTTCACTGTTTGAAGTTGTGGGCAATTTGTCTTTTTACAGATGTTAAACGTCTTTTGGGGTGGTTTTTTTTATCAGTAAAGACCATCTGTACCACAAAACTATAGGTTGAAGGAGCTTAATGCCAAGAAGGAAAAGTCAGGGCTAAAAGTGCAAAAGGTTCTATGGGTTTGGGGAGATAGATGCAGTTTAGCTCAATAATACTGCCCTAATGTTGCTAGGAGGTTTATCCTAACATTGACTCCCTATAGAGAATTAATGGCTTGTCATTTGCATGAGAAAAAATGTGATACAACTATGATTCACATTTTGTTCAATTGCAGTTTCAATTTTCTAATGATTTGACTATGAAAATAACTGGACGATGTTGCCCCATTGTAATTTCTTTTATTGCATTATGGGGGTCAGACCGGTCAGTCACCCAGGGACATACCAGAGGTACTACATTAGGTAAGTTTATTTTGCTCAAACTTCTTGGTCCGTGGTCCCTCTGTTTATGTATGTGGATTATGAGATGTGTTCTTTTTATTGGGTACTATCTCATTGAAATTTGCTCTGATCATAGTATGGTCTTTGTATTCGACTTCGATGTTATTCCCATATTAAATATGAACTACTTGGTAAATTTGAAATATCCACCCAATCTAGGTTGCACATATTTCTCTTTTCTTGAATGTATGATATGAAATGTAGAAAAGAAAAATATATGCATGCACAAGTGTAATGATTTTTGATGAGCATGTTGGAGCTTCTATTGGTCTTGTATCAATTCTGGAATTACTTTCATTACAATTTGTTGAAGACAAAATTATAATAAATAAGTTTATAGAGTTATAAGAACTACTGGAGTTCATTGTTGGTTGTCAGTATCTCTGCAAACCGAGATCTATCGGTTTGATTAGAGATACTACTGGAGTTCATTGTTGGTTGTCAGTATCTCTGTAAACCGAGATCTATCGGTTTGATTAGAGATAAACGTCTGCTAGGCACGTAATTTTGGATTCTTCATGGGTTATTCTGCTACAAGAGCTTATTTTGTCTCTATTTGATATTTGAGATTACATTTTTTCTATGTTCGCATCTAATATGTTTGTTATCTATTAATGAATATTGGTTTTGCAATATGGATACTTCATTATTTTGGATACTTCAGTATATTTATCAAGTGTTGTTTTATTTGAAGGTTTACAGAAGGTACAAACAGTATCATCAGCAGATGCAAATGGTAGTTTCATCCTTTGAATCGGTGGCAGGTCTCAGTGCAGCCACTCCACATATATCTGTAGGTCTAAAGACTGTTTCCAGACACTTCCGTTGTCTAAAGAATGTGATAGCCAACCAAATCAGAAGCGTAAGTAATGCCTTGGGAGAAGATTTATCATCCCTCACTGCTGGCACAAGCAGTAGTAAAGGTGATATGAGTGGTTCGAGGTTAAAGTTCGTGGATAAAAGCTTCCAAAAACAGAAAGATGGGTGCTATACGGGCTTTATTGAGCCCCAACAACATGTCTGGAGGCCACAGAGAGGCCTACCTGAACGTGCAGTGTCTGTTCTTAGAGCTTGGCTCTTTGACCATTTTCTTCATCCGTAAGTCTCTTTGACACATGATGCGTCATATGTACGCAAATTCAGGGTTTAATGAAAATGAAACTTGTTTTTGTGTAGATATCCTACAGACACTGATAAGCATATGCTGGCTACTCAAACCGGCTTAACCAGAAACCAGGTACTTTGGCACTCAGTAGACGAGTAAAATCTTATTGCCTGCAGGCTGAATTCCTTGGCTTCGATTCATTTTATAGATGCTTGTAATAATTGACCTAAGTTTCATTTTTCATACTAGGTTTCTAACTGGTTTATCAATGCTCGGGTTCGTGTATGGAAACCCATGGTTGAAGAAATACACATGCTAGAAACCAAAGGAATGACAGAAACGGGATCAAATGCTTCAAAAACTGATGGGAAATCCTCAACTGAAGGTTCAAAATTGAATGGCATCCAATCTTTTAATACGCATGGCATAACTGCAGTTTCTGATAAGCAAATGGATTGTTCAAGAATCAGCCCATCAGAGGGCCAAGGGGACGAATTGAGTGCAGATTTATGGAATCACAAGAAGCGATCAAGAGTGGAGTATCATATTCCAGGTAGCATGGATGGATCATTTATGGGTTTCATGCCTTACCACCGTGGTGGAATCGAAATTGGAGGGCTAGGTGCAGTGTCTCTAACCTTGGGTCTCAGGCAAAGCGCCGGAGAGTTCCCAACAACTGCAGCCAGAGGATCATCTAAGACAGAATACGGGGGGCTAGACCATTCATGATTTTGTAGGTTGATTCATGCAGTTGCATTGCATTCGGCGATGTTGGTGAATTTAGCTAGAAATAAAAGCCAAGAAAAATCACTTCAGCCTATGCTGCAAAGCTTAGAAAAACTGTAGAATCAAAACGAAATAGATGGTTATCCGGATTATATTACTGGAGAAAAAAGTTGTATATTTGATGGGTCAATGGTGAAAATCTGTAGATGTATTTTTGAGAGAATTGGAACCTTTGCTTGTGTGGCTAAGACGTGAGATTCAGCTTCTGGAGCATAACTGCAACATCACACCATCTTTTCATAAATAACCTTTTCAATCTGTCTGATTGCCGTGGAAGAAATTGATCTTTACTATCTGCTCAAGAGTCAAAATTTGAAGAACACCATAAGAATTTGACTCTTCATTGAGTGCTAATTTAGTTATAGCAATCAGCCCCACAACCACAAAAACAAAAACAAGAATGTTTAATGGGCGCTGTAGCGGAAGATTGATCACGCGAAGGGGGTTTTCCGGGCTCGGTTTAATCCGACCAAATCGACATCCCAAATTACGACCCAAAACCCACTGCTATAGATTAATTTCGGTGGCTTTAGATTGTATTCCCAAAGGAAAAAGAGGGGAGAGTGTTTATTGCTGCCACAAAGGTGAGAGAATGGAATGAAGACGGTGAAGAACACAGCAACCACAGCAACAGTCACAAAGAGAAAGCAGTAGAACGAGCTACAGCGAAGCAAGAAAGGAGCCGGTATATATAGGTTTAATTAGGTATGTAAATGGTCCAAAACCCAAAGACAAACAAATGGGCCAAGTAAGGTGAATATGGTGGAAATTACACTAAACCAGCTGTTTAGTTTTGACTTTTAAAAAATCAGGTTTATACTTTATTTAATAAAAAATCAGATTTTAATTTCACAATTAATATTAATAATAATATTTTTAAATTAAATTAAATATATACCCACCCTACTACCTACCCCACCAACTTTATTTAAATATAAAACCCAACCAAAACCTAATTCATTCCATTTCATATCTCCCATCTCTACCGACGCCGCCGCCTCCGCCTCCACCGCCCGCTCCGGCCACCGCCCC